GTTTACAATTGCTTTTTTAAATAATGGAGACTTGAAAAGACCTCATCACAAGGCAGTTTATGTAATTGTGGGGAAAGCTTTTATCTGGAATACTTGCAATCTCTTCTACAATAGAAACCTCCTAATTTCAGATTATTCTTTGTCCAGTGATACATTCCAAAAGGGAAACACATTTGTTTGGATATAAACAATAAAGAATGGAAAGTGGTGTATCCCTATGGATGTTTTCTTACAAGACTGTAATTCTGCACCAAGTCTCTTAAGAATTGTGTCACCACTGTACTTAAGGAGATAACAACCATTAAAACTCAAGTATTGCAATCTATTGTTGGGCTGTTGTTCCTGGTTTGACCTGTTACACTCTTTTAAGACCGTAGATGATTTCTTTTCTTTCAACCTTTCTTCTAATTTACTGTCTAAATATTAAAATAGGAAGCATATTGAATCAGGTAACATGGGTTCCAGTCACGACACTTCTATTATTTGCGAAACATGCTACTTAACGCAATATTTTAATGTCTCTCCCCCCAAGATCTTTTTTTAAGATTTTAATTGCTTTATTCCCTCTCTTCAACCAATGTAGGAAAGTAAATACTAATATCCATGCTTATTACTTGTAAAGAACCTATTAAATCATTATCATCTTCATCCTTTTTTGCAGATATTTCAGGTTTTTGCTCCCACTGTATGTTGCTGCTGACCTTGCTCTTTTTGCAAATGTTCTCCGGTCAAATCTCAATTGTATTTTTCAGCAGAGATTTGTCTGTTCATTTTTATAGCTTACATTAAGTGTGAGACTCATAACTCTTACTGTTTCTGTTGTTCCTATAGCAACCAGATAGGTGGAGATGCAACAGCATCACTTTGCTTCCCAGCTGGTGTTTGTGTTCTTAGCAAGGGGAGAGTATGAGGAAAATAGAGAGAGTGTTAATTGGGATGTAACTGGTTGAAAGTGTTGTCCTTGTTGAGTTACCTCATCCTTTACTCCAAGGAGTTAGTTAATAATTTTTAGCAGGGCTTCTCAAACTTTCTTTATTAAAATTCTCGGATAGAGACATGATTTACTCTGTCGGGCTTTGGTCTCTTAGCTGCTGCTTGGTTTTTCATGTTTTCTTTCACCTGAAACCCTGTTTTATTCCTCACATGGATAGCAGTAGGATTCGTTAAGAACTAGACTGCTACTTATGACTTGTATGTAGCCTGAACAAACACAAGAGACTTTTTAATTCCTGCTTCTTAATCTTTTTGCAGCTGTCCAGTAACTACAGTATACTAGACTGTAGCTTTATAGTGGACTGTTAAGTGACTATCTTGGAGTAAAATGTTTTGATATTTAAAATGCTACCTATACAGAGATTAGAATAACATATTCTACCCTCTCCAAGAAGAAGTTGCTTGCATTCCCCTTAAGCAGTCCACTCTCTGATGCCATGATGGAGTGTTCATTACATACTTTCCTGAGGATCTCTGATGCCATATTAATTCCTCTATGGTAAATTAAAGTCTTTCCTCCATGCCTGAGCTCCTGAAGTTTGCCTGCTTTGCCTTGGTGCCACTTGTTTAGCCAAGCACCGCTGCTCCATGAGGGTTGTGTTACTCTCAGCATGGCATGTGCATTGTCAAGACTCTGGGGAGGTGAGGAGTTTAACTTTACAGTGTTCAAGTCACTATTATATAAAACAACCGCAAAACACGGGACCTACGTTTTAAGCTCCTCTGAAGCTGTAAATTTTTATTAAATAAAAATTCATGGGCACAGGAGCTGAATATCATAGGTTGTATCTTAGAAAGATGGGCCCTATCAGCTTCGTGTTACTCTTCAACTTGTACATGCATTGAAAATGCTTTCCTAGCCAGAACAGCTCTGATTAGCAAGAGGAACTCAAGCTGCTACTGCGACAGTGATCTGCAGATCAGTGGGATCCTGCATCAGGTTGTCTTCCATGAAATGTCTATCATCTCCACATTGGTGGTGGTGCCTCAGGAGAAGTGCTTGTTCTTTTGGAAATAAGTTTTCAGTTGTTTCCCAGTTTATTACTTCTCTGTTTCCCCTGACTCTCTCAGATAGAGAGGTTCACAAGAGCTCATCAACATGACATACGATAAGTTTATAAATCGGCTTGCTTCTCTGCTGGCTGCCCAAGCAGGATTCTGATCCTAGGTGGATTACACATTAGTATAGATTTACATTTTAAACAGAACAACATCTCTTCAAAACATTCTGGCTTAAAAAATTACATAAAAGGACAAGTCCCTTGCTTCCGTAGATTAGATCTAACCTAGTGTATCTGATGTATGCGTGGGGCCACTAAGTCATTTAGGGGTTTGGGGAGTCTTTCTGAGGCTGAGAGAGCTGGGACTGTTCAGCCTCAGGAAGGGAAGGCTTGTGTGGGATCTTAGCAATGTATATTCACATCTGATAGGTGGGAATAAAGAAAACCGAACCAGACTCTTCGCAGTGCTATCCAGTGGCAGCACAGGTGGCAATGGGCATACATGTAATGTGTGACTAAACCTTTTTTACTATGAGGGTGGTAAAACACCGCAAGTTTTAGAGAGAGGCTGTGGAGTGTCCATCCCTGGAAAAGATTAAAACTCATTTGGGCTCAGGCCTGACCAATCTGTGTAGTTGACTCTGCTCAGAGCAGGAGGATTGGACTTGATCTCCAGAGGTCCTTTCCAACCTCAGCTATTCTGTGAATATTGTGGATTATGTCAGCAGATAAAATAGTTGGAGGTTTTTTTCTATGAAGAAATTGCTACTTGGAGAATCTTGTTACAGATAAAATGTAACTCTTGTGAGATGTTTTGAGAATCCTTTTGTTGTTTATGCTTAGATTTTGATTTTTATCTTAGTAAATCTCCTGGTGTTATAATGTTTATTTCTTACAACCTGATTAGAAAAATCCTGACCCATAAATCAGTGCAGTAACTACATTTTTATCAGCTTTCTTCACTTGACAAATAAATGCATTTTTATAGTGCTTAAAATCCAATCCTGAATATAAAGGTCTACTGAAGTGTTTTTGATTAATAGAATCACAAAATCATTAAGATCAAAAAAAACTCGTAAGAGTGAGTCCAACCATTAACCTCTCACCCCCATGTGTACCACTAAACTATGTCTTCAAGTGCCAAATCCACGTTTTTCGAATGCTTCCAGGGATGGTGATCCCATCAGTTCCCTGGGCAGCCTGTTCTAATGCCTGCAGCTGCAGCTTTCCAGCCACTCTTCCCCCAGCCTGTAGTGCTGTGTGGAGTTGTTGTGAGCCAAGGGCAGGATGCAGCACTTCGCCTCCTTGAACCTCATACATTGCCCTCAGCCCATCAATCCAGCAAACTCGTCATACTCAAAATCTCCAGGCAAAAATTTAGGAAGAATTCCAGCAAGGAAACTGGAATTCTGCTCTCTTGCTTGAACTTACATGCTTCCCTTGCTACCTGAGGACTGAATATGCAGAATTGGATTGTTCTGTTCTCTGGAATATTCAGTTCAGGGGAATACATGAATGTACAACCAGAGTTTGACAACTGCCTTGAAGTGTTGAGTTTATTATCCTTAAATATTAACTAAGAGCAAGCATAATTTTTATCTTCCCTAGATCTGCTGGTGTTTGCTCAAAATCGATTGAAATAGCTCCTGTGTTCTCCAAGAAGGGAGTGCATATTGCCTCTTGAATTGCTTCCATATATATGTTGGGGAGTGAAAAGTCAGGGATGGTGTTGACAATTGTAGATTAAAAAAGAAGTAATAAAAGAGGCGATAGCATCTGGAAAGAGAGGCTGTGGTTGGAGCCAGAGAAGAAGCAATGTCTAGCACTGGATGTGAGGTGTGAAAGGAGAGCAGCGTCCCAGGGAAGGAGAAAGAATAGGTGAAGTAGGGTGTGTTTTTTGTTGTTGTTGTTGTTTGTTTTGCTTTTTCAAAAAAGCTAAAGGTTTGTAATATTGAGTAGAATTAGTAACCCTAGTTTGAGTGTCTCATTTCAAGTAAGTAGTGGCAAGGAACTGAGAATTTAAGTGAAATTTTGGTGTTGGCTTTCTGGAGATCTCTTTCAGATTCTTGGACAAATCCTGCTTGAGCAGACCTCTCTGGGCATTAGGGATTTTAAATACAATTATTGTTTGGATTAATCTCCCAAAAATTCTGCTTTGAAACTTTGTTATGCATCTCTTCATTCAAATCACTTTATGTTTTCAATCTTGTTTACTTTTTTACAGCTGTTAACACAATAGGGGAAAAGCTTCCAAGGAATGACTATTGATGTCTGAGGGAACCTAGATTTTAATAGCAGAACAATTGCTGTGATGTCATGTGCAGATTTTATGTGTTGTTCACAAGCAGCTGGTTGCAAACAACCACAGATTGCAAAAAATGTCTATAAAGCTTTTGTTCTACTTGCAAAACTACTGTCTACACTGTCAAAAGCTTGTGGATGTAGCTGTCTGTATATTCCTGTTTTAAGTCAATTTTCAAACATGAAATCAAATTTGCGGACAAAGCTCTTTTGCCAATGTGATTTTTATCAGTCGTACTCTAAAAACAAGCGCAGCCCTAAAAAATTAGTTATATATGATGATAATAAAAGTGACTCTCACGGATGCATTTGCATACCAAGATTAGGCATCACTTTCAGCAAGTTATACTAGCAAAAGTGGGTTTTGCCAGGTTATTGATGTGTAGCATAAAACTGCTTCCTGTAGAAGAAAATCCTTCCACTGAACTCAATCATTCTGGTAACAATAGGAATGCAAATGTAGGTAAAGATTGCATTTCTTACCATGAAATAAATGTCAAAGTAGTTTTCTGTTTTTCTAATTGTGAAATTGGTAACTAGGCATAATAACTAAATGTCAACAAAACATAAAGGTATGGTAATTTTAGACTTCTAAGGATATTTCTAGAAATGTTTTTGTTATAAAATAAAGGTACGTATTTTTATTGCTCTTGAAGATAATCATCAAAGGCTGATCAACTAAAAATTCTGCTTTTTGTTTTCCAGAAACCAGCAAACATTCTGGTAATGGGTGAAGGTCCTGAAAGAGGAAGAGTTAAAATAGGTAAACATTTTTAGAAAATTTCATTGCATTCAGTGTAAGATAGAAACAGACCTTCTTTAGTTTTTCATATTGGACCCTCTGTTCATCAATATTTGTTGTGTTTGAAAATATTCAGTTAATAATTTTTGATTTATATGCTTGTATGGGCAACAGCAAGAAAATTATACTTGGCATTTTGTAACTTTGGAAGCAGAAAGATTTAAGTGAAGTGTATAAAAGGTAAATTGCAGATTTAAATTGGGGTAAAATGTCTGGGTTTGCCAGTACCCCCAATTTTGTACTTTCCTATTGAGCATTTCTTACTGTTACAAGACTCTTTCTAGAGAGAATTTTGGAGTTATATATCAGTGCTTACTTTTAAAATACACCTCTGTAACAGTATATGCTGACTAATTCTGGAGTTCATTCCTCCAAATCAAGTAGGAGGCATGCCTTGAAAAGTAGTTCAAAACAATCTACACTGTAGTCATTTTGGTTTTGCACTTTGGGTAAATATATAGCAGCCACAAAGACTCACAGTTTTGTAAATTACTATAAAAATAAAAAAGAAATGTACATTACAGACCTACCACTATCGACTTTAGTTAACCAAGTTTCTGTTAGAGGTTTTTTTAAAAATAAACAGGTGTCTGTGTTATGTGAAGTTTTACAATCCCATGATGAAAACACTGAAATCAAATGTTATCCTTCACAGCCTTATGAACAAAGTAAATGGAATTTTATCTCAGCTAAATTTGGCCCAGTATTATTATGAGTAATTGTGCTTTGTTAGGAACTTTGATTTGTAATTTTTAATGGTTTTGAGCTTTTATTATAATTGTTTTTGGCAATAGTGTTAAATTTTGTTTTCTTCGTATAAAAATTTAAATAAATATTATTTCCTATTTTTTCTCCCCATTCCCCAGCTGATATGGGTTTTGCAAGATTGTTTAACTCGCCTTTGAAGCCATTGGCAGACTTGGATCCAGTTGTGGTGACATTCTGGTACAGAGCTCCAGAGCTGTTACTTGGGGCCAGACATTACACAAAAGCCATTGGTAAGTTGTCCTGTAAGGAGGATGTTTGCCTGCAAGTTTTGTAAATGATAGTGGCCTTACAATAGATAAGAGGATCAGCTGACTAGCTAGGTTTTTTTCCTGAAGTAGCAGCAGATACAGTATGATCCAATCCATAAAAGATTACTTCAGACTGAAACTTTCTGAGGACTGTGCTTTTATTTTTCAGTATGAGCTGGACGTTTTAAATGTGTTGTTGGTTTTATTTTAAAACAAAAATATCCTTTGCACTGGTTTGTACGTGTTCTTGATATGGACTCAGAAATCTTTTGATCTTATAAAACTGCAAAAGAGAAAGAGCTATGGCTGTTAAAGTGACATTCTACTAGGGTGTTACATCTTTGTTGTCCTCCTTCGGAGGCTCTCTAATAGCTTAATATCTTTCTTACATGGCAGTGACCAAACCTTCCCAGTCTGTTCACCTCCTCTCCCAACTCCTCTTGCTGGTGTCTCAGTGCCCCAGCCAGAGCGTGTCTCCTGCTGCGGTGCCAGTGTCATCCTGCAGACGGGGTCTTGCATGGCAGCATACTCCCTCTGGAACTCTGCCTCAGCTGAGATGCAGGCATCCCAGGATATCTTGTCCAGTGGGTGCTGGGGATGGAGCCTTGTAGTGCCCCTGCCTCCTGCACGGTAGAGACACAATCCCATGCTGTCTGAAGCAGACTCTTAGGGCCTGCTTTGCTTCTGCCACCATGCAAACCGGGCTCCTAATTACTAAGTCTGTGCTTGCTGCACCCTGTAGTGGGTTAAAACAGTTACTAGAAGTGTTTAAAGAAAATACCAACAGGATTGCCCTAAACACCTGTAAATTAGATGCTTTAATTGCCTGTTGAAAGTGGAAAACACTGATTTGAGTGCACCAGATTACTGAGTGACCTGTACTGAGTGTGTGGTACTGGAAAGCTGCCTCAACTGACAATTACCTGTTTTTGATAGATAGCATAGTGTTTGGAGATTTGGGTGAGTGATATGTACCATTATCTCAGGATATCTCTTTGAAGAATGAGTTAGTATAATGCTGTTGTTTGCTTAATTATGTCATAAATAACTTGGTTCTTGCCCTGAGGGATCTGTAGTCTATATTAAAACACAGACGAGGAGTCCCTATGAAACTTTAGAAGATGATGCTACTTCAGAGAGATCTGATTTGCTAGTAGTTTATTATTTCTGAGGCTTTTATTTCTTTTATCACACCAGTGAATCCCCAGGAGGGATTGTTACGAATGAATGGTTACGTAGTACCTGGCATGCCGTGTGAGTGCTGAGGGGCACTCAAAACAGTTTGGGCAGCGAAATAAAAAATACAGAAATGAAAACTGGAAATTTCCAAGTTGAGATTTGTAGGCTGACTGAAGGATTAGAGGAGCATGTGACAGAATAGAAGAGAAAAGAGTAAGGGGACATGGAGGTGGGCTGCATTTAGCTTCAAGGTGAAGGGAAGAAGTGAGTAACAAAATGATAGTGGTGACGACGTTCATGCAGTTTCATGAGTCCAGACTTGTGTTTTGCTTCTAACATTATGTGCACTTAAAAAAAGACCATCTTGTGAGCTAAGCATGGTAGTGATAGTTTAACTTGAATGCTAATATTTTTGGCAAAGTACGCAACTCTTAAATCTCTCTCTTAAGTCTCTGTGCAAGAAATATAATTTTAACATCTCTTAATATTAGATAATTCTCAGGAGTTCTAGTGTATTGCTTTTGGTAATAACTCATAAGTTATATAAAATTCTCATTTAACTGCTCTTCAGTTGGAAATAATAATTTAGAAGAAAGGTGATTAGATATAGCAAATTATGAAAAAAAATGACAGGTTATTTAGTACAGCTGCTTTTTTCCATAGCTATTTTCTTATGCCTTTTTAGATAATACATAACTTCTAATTAGTAAATATCAATAAAATGAGGCTGAAAGCAATGTCATGCCAGCTTTAGTGGATTCTCTTCCAGTTTTGTCATGGTGAGAAAGGTTTTTCTTTGAATTTGTTAGGAATGCATTATCAGTACTCTTCTGCAACATGCTGAACACTATTTAATAGTTGTTACATAATTCAAATGTTTGCATGGGTTTTTACTGATTTTGTCTTGATTTTATTTAATTTTAAATGTATTTTCTGTAGTTTGTATCTAATACTCTCTACCTTATCTTAGTTTCACATATAATTTAATTATTAGCAGTGTATTCAAAATATCCTGCACACTGTCTACTATAGTGTCCAGTTTGGTTTTGTTCTTGTAATAAAGCCTTTAGGTATGATTGCTTGCATGTAAATAATTCTCATTCATAATCAAAGAATGAAATTAGAATTTGACTTTTGACTTATTCAGGATTTTTATCTTTGTTTCCTAGACCTGATCATAGTTACATTTTGTGGGTTTAACTTTGGGGGAACATTGAACTATAGAATGTTTAGAAAGAACTATGTATTACACAAAACAATATTTAAGCATATTTCATTATTTTAGGGGTAGTTTTTCAGTGACATTTTTTTCTTTATTTAATTTTTCCCTTCATACTAATGAAATATTCTACTTTTCACTTATTTCTTTGCAGAACAGGTACTTGTTCATCACATATATAACCTTTTTATGTTTTAAGAAGGTACAAGAGTCAGGAAAATACTGTTGCTAAAAACAGACATGGCTTTTACCTTCTGCATATTAAAAGCATAGTAAAAAGCCCATGATAGGGTTTTATGGGGAATAATATTTTGTTTCCTGACCTGTGAGTGTTTATAATGTAAACCCTACTTGTTAATAAAGTTTCATATATATCTGCTACATAGTTACAAGTAACTAACTTACCAGAATGTAAATTGCGAAAATGGTGTTGTAGAAGCCAAAGGTCACTCTCTATTCCAGTACTAAATTCATTGTAGCCTGTGGATGTTTTCTGTATTTTCAGCACCATAATTTAAAAACAGAATCCGTTTCTTTGTGGTTGTCAGATCCCAATACTCTAGCAAAGAAATAAAACCTGCAAATAAAAGTAACCTGAAGAAGCTTCAGGTGAAACTAAGTAAATGTGAAAATGTAAAATGCTTGGTATCATGGAATTGTTAATAAAATTACTGAACAACTAGAAAGTCTCCAGCACAACAGAAAATGCCCTTATGCTCAAAGTACTGAGTAAACAAGGTTGAAATAAGTGCAAAGGTACAGCACTGCTTTTGTGTGTGGGCAAAGTTTTCTGCACTTTAAGGAAACAAATTTACTGTGGTAAAACGAAGGAGAAGGTAAGCTGGCTTTCAGCTTGAAAGGAGACATTAATTAGATGGTTTTTTTTACTCTGGGAACACCAGATTAGAAAAAATATTTTAGTAGGTAAAGCAAGTAAAAATTCTTTTTCATCATAGGTTTATAAGAAAGCATATGGCCAGTCTCCGATATGATTCATTCTGGGGCATCTTGTATCAAGAAAATAACGTAATTAAGACCCATTGGTATCAAGTTGCAGCTTGTATAGTTATCAGTGCTATCAAATGAGCATATATCTTACCTGTCTTTACCACTTGCCTTAATTAAAGCAGTAGTATATTTGATAAATGGCATCAGGTGATTTATATAGTATTTTAGATTATTTGGATTTTGTTAACTAAAGAGTTCTTTAGAGTGATCATTCAACCACCCATTAAGCAAGGCTAAAACACTGTCCAAAAAAAGGATGGGATTATTTATTGTGAAAAAATAAATCTGGAAACCCGAGAAATCTCTATTGCTTAGTTACCTTTCCACACTTGTCCAAATTATAAGTCAGCAGGAATGTCAGCAGAAACAGCCATGTGGCAACTGCATTTACCAGCCTGAACAAAGTTGAGGTGTAGAGAAACTGTAATTCAAAGCACTGTCACCTCGTTCTATTTCCAGACTAACATGTGGTTATGGAAGCTGGAAACATGTAAAAGGTATAAGCAGGCATCAAAATGCCTTTGAAAGCAAATGTCACAGGAAAATATTTGGTGTATCAGAGGGAATGAATTTATAATGAATGCTGGGATCTGTCAGAGTTTCAACAACTCCATTTGACTTCATGCGGGGAAAAAAATGTGAGGAAAATATCTGGGGTGCATTATATAGGATTTAGGGTGGAAATACGTGCATATGTGTTCCATATTGCCTGTGCAGTGAGTTCCACACATTCCGAGTGCATCAGATGTCCTTACTGTGTGCGCACAGATTGTTGGCATGCTGGCCAGGCTGGGGGCCTCTGGAAATCTTGGATTGATGCCTAAAGCTCTTCTGGTGTCATGTTCTGGGAGGGTTGGGAGGAAAAACGAAGACCTATTCTGGAAAATCTGGTAAACCAGAAATTACGAATGGGTCCAAGAAAGAGAAAACTCTTCAGGAAAAATGTACAGGGGAGTTTCCCACCTGTGGTCCATGGAGCCATAGGAGCAGGACTGCTTTTAAACATACATGAGAGATGATCAAATCTACAGTCAATTAGCATCTATTTGCTGCATAGGGATCCAAATTCCTGCTTACGAGAGGTTTTGATTTGAGGGAAGGGGTTGAGGAAAAGCTAGAAAAGTAAAGTAGAGAGGTTTGGAAAATACTCATTTATGCATGCTGAAAAGAAAAACTGAGACAACATCAGAAAGGGAGCCTTGTTCGTGCCCTGGGCAATGTTATATGACATGAGAAATAATTGGATTCAGATGATATTTTGTGGTAAACTTGTTTTGGCATGTGGTAAACTTCCTTAATTTTGGTTATCAAAGTTGTTCTCATGCTTTTTCTGAAAGGCAAAATATTTTAATACCAAGGATTAATTGTTGCTCTCTTATCTAGTTATTGCAGGTGCTGGATGATTTACTGCTGTTTTTTCCTCTTGTTCTCTAAAATACTAAAATATCTCTGAAATACTCCATAGGTTTCTTTTTAAAAACAAAACCAAAAGAAAAACCAAACCAACCAAACAAAACAACAACAAAAAACCAACAACAACAACAACAAACCAAAACAGCATTTGCTGTGCTCCACT